GCAAAACGTTGAAAATTATTGAAATCGGACTAAAATAACGGCCGCTTCTCATATAACGGTAAATTTCAGAAATGCTTGAAACTTCAATATTTCGAAATTGAAGGACGCTAATTTACTCAAAATTGATACACCCCGGCTTACCATCTAGCGGAAGGTTTCGGAAAGGTGAAAAAACATATTTAATACTTGCGCCGGGTATTTAATGTTCGGCTCCGCCCGAACTTAGACTTTCTTACTTGTTTTACTAGAATTTAATGGGCTGCAAAACTGCATACTCAAAAAAATTCTAAAAAAATCTGATTAAAAAGTTGAAAATTTTGATGAAAATTGGCTGAATTTTCGCGAGTTTTGCACATAGTTTAGGAGTTTTATTTTTATTGGCGGAAAAATATTAGAATAAGTATTGTTGCATATATTGTGAAAAATTTGTTCATTTCAATTTGTTGTTTGTCAATACTTTGTTCCGGCAGTGTATGAAAATTGGAATTTCTCCAAATCAGTAAGTAAGTGACAGCATGTTAAATTTTTTATATCCAGGGCTTATATTCTAAAATACTTTGTGATGTTAGAACCAATCTGGGACTTACCTGGCATCACTCATGTTAATTCTGACTTTTCAATTTAAGAGTAAATTCTTCTGTCAAGCACTACACAAGGCCAGCATTAATACCACCGATGACAGTTAAGTGTTAGGTGGATTCTTATATCAGAATCTCATATTCGTGAAAAGTACAAATGTGGGATATTGAATAAAAGTCCTTGATTTCCTGAAGCTTTTTAATAGGATGCCCTTGAATTAGCCTCTGGAAGTAAGCTCAAAAATCTTGGCTTGTGTCTGCCAGATCAGCATTTGAAAGAGGATCCCGACTTTAAGGGACCAAAACAACGGGTTTCATTATTGCTTAAATTTATAACTGATGTATCTAAAACTGCATTATGAACTCTTCTTCTGAATACTTTCCAACATATAAAATAAAATTAAAATCAGTGCGACGTCCATGGAAGCCACTGAAATTACTGACATATTTTTCTCTTCTATCTTATCTGTTTGATTGTTGAATAAATTAATTCAAAAAATTTTATAAAATTTAGAATTATTAAAGATTGTAAATCTTTTTGAGTTTTGTGTTAAAGATAAGACTTACAAAAGAATATTGCCACAGTCGAAAAACGTTAAATAAACAGAACTATAAGGGATGGTACATAAATAGGTGTGCCATCTCAAAATTCATATGAGCTCATTCCGAGGCTTCAAGATGGCCATTATCCAGCTACCACTTATTTTTGATGGTTTCAGCAAAATTCCGCTCCAGCTAATAGGTCAAAATCGACACAAAATAAGATCCCAAAGTACATTTTTTCGGTCTGTTGGCAATCTATTAGCCCAAATCTGAAGCCATTGGACTATAGCCATTCGGGAAGCAAGCAAGTGCTGAGCCCTTTAAGCGCGTCCTTTTTCGAGCACTGAGACGCACCTACACTGCGATCGATTAGTGACCAAAGCGACTTTACAGCTGCTAGAATGCAAGTGGAGGTCATTTCAGTGATCTACAATATCTAGGCATTGTATTATATTTACAAAAAAATAAAAAAATAAAACTACAAATATTGACTCCTTTTTTTATTTTATTAGACAAATACTTTGTTCCAAAACATTTTGCTGTACCAATTAGATCAAATATCAGAACAAGCAGGAAAACATAACTTCCTCCTTAATTACTTTTGATTATTGGTGTTAATAAGTAGCGATAGTTGAATGAACTTCTCTTAATAAAAAACATTAAATTTTTATTTATTTTTTTTAATTATTATTGCTTTTAAAAGCTATGAGTGCTTTTGGTTTTCGTCTTTTATTACGAAAGATGTTATTAAAAGTTTATTGTTATCTATAAAACTGCTGTGATGCAAGTACGGTTGCAATGCGAGCAATAAAAGAAAACTATTTGGTTATTAACGATTGCTATTAATTCTCATTTTATTACTGATTATTTTTCTACTACGCTATAGCGAGATCGTTCACCTCCTAAATCCTTGTCAATGAAGTCATTAAACTTTTCTTAAAAAAATCAGTAGATTTCATTAAAGAATCCTCCGTTTACATCATTATTAATCTGCCAAAAAAATTTAAGTGCATATCAATATTTATACTGTCACAAATATCTTCAATTTAAAAATGATTTGAACTCTTATTACCGACACCTTAACTACATTAAATGACGCATATCTACGCGTACATTGATATATTTTAAAAACTACCAAACCAAGCTCTTTTCTTTTCACTAAAATCATTTTTCACATGCTTTGCTACTTTTTCATAATTTCTTCACCTCAACTTTACTACGCATCCATACAATACAACTTTACAATTATTATTACTTAGCTTTATACGAGCGATTTAATTTCTATTGGCTAATTTATTTTCTTTTTCTTCTTTTTCTCTTCTTTTCCCACGCTTTTCTTGTTTTTGTTTTTCCTTTTCAGTGATTCCGCAGAGTTGTCGTTTTCGTGGACACAAATTCGAGTGTGGTCTCTCCATTTCATGCGTGCTGGGCGGCGGTAAGCCGGTTGATCTCTGCTCGGGCGGCATGATCTGGTCGTGCTGTGTGGACAAAGACCTCGATGCCGAGGATACGCATGCGGGTCAAGTGAATAACACAAGTGAGTAGAAGACGTGGGGAGACGCTTATATGCAACACACAAAAAAAAATAGTCGACAAGCAAAGTACGAACAAAATGTTATGTAAATGCCTTTTAAGTAATTTTGCAACATCGCATAACAGACATTCTTATTGTGTATGTAAATGCCTACGCTTATGCCTAGTAAAATGCTATAATAGCTGAAGAATTGCGCTTATGTAATTTCGCTGAATAATTTTGTTGAATAATTTTGCGCAATAAATTTAATTCAGTTCAGTGTTGCAGTGCAGTTTCGAAAATGACAACTGTTGCAGCAATTACTTATGTATATATACTTATATATGTATGTATGTATGTATATGCATGCTTATAGCTGTGTAGTACAATGGAAGCGTGCATGCAACGTGTTGCCACTCTTTAAGTCAATGCATTGCACATGCGCAGCCGTGGCCAGCTGTTTGAAGGTGGCTGCGGGTGCTTGAACTGTAACAGCAGATGTGCTCAAACTTTTTGAAAAATGAAAATGCATACCTCTAGCCACTCTGCGCTTTTTTATATTCTGGCCTGTATCAGCAATTTTTTTATTTCGCCACTTTAGTAAGATGATTTAAAAGAAAGTGCTGGTGAAATTGTTTAACAGGATAAAGTAATTAGATAAAGTGTAAGTCCACAATACTGGTTGCTAACATATGAGAACTGTGCGAGCTCAAATATAATTCTTAGGTCTTCCTTTTTATTGACTCCAAAATTAGCATCAGTTTTTCCCGAACATTGTTTTTTTTTTTTGATTTTAGCAGAAGGATGTTTTTTCAAAAAAAAAAAATTGTGATACAATATCGACTAAATTGATCTAAGCTCTATTTTTAAACCCAGTTCCTAAACTATCTGTATGCGAAATTCATTTACTAAACAGGTGGAAATCCTTTTGCTTCGCGCTGCCTGATAGGAACTTTCGCGTTGCCTAATGTAAAAGTAACACTTCTAGTTATGTTAAAGCTGATTTTAAATATCAGGGAAATGGGAGGTGCCACGCCCCTGATCCAAACTCATCTCCATTTACCTTGTAATGAGCAGATATATATGAATAAGGTATCCATAGAAAATTTGACTTATAGCTGATTTTTTTTTTTTATAGGTGTTGCCATACCAATCGAAATATAATTAATGCCCAATATTTATTTGGAATAAAAAGTGGCCGTAGACTTCGCAATTTGCAAAGTTTCAACCAAACCCATTAAGTATTTATTGCGTGGTCCACATCCAAATATCCAAAGGTACATACAAACATTCATATTTATGATATTATTAGGATTAGCAGAATACGATTCGAACTCAAGTCCACATCTAAGAAAAATCCAAAACTAGCCTACCAATCATTTGCCAAAACTCACAAAAAGTTTGAGCAGCCCTGCCATCAGCTGAGTGACGTCTGCAGTTCACCGTTGGGCAGCGCCGATTTTAAACTCTATATTGCCACATACTTACTCTCCTTTTTATGCCTTTTTACTCGATTTCTTCGGCATTAAGACACAGCATTTTCCTTATGTAAAATTAAATGTGCTTGCGAAGTAAATACGAAACATCAAAAACAAAACCAAAGGAAAATGCATGCGATAACAACAACGAAAAAGTTAACAATATCAATAAATAAATACCAACAGTGAGCGCGCTTTATAAAAACAAAAAAAAACAATGGCGAACTATAAGTATAACAACAATGCTCCGTGTATTGACGTTGTGCTCTGATAACTTCCACATATTACTCCTAAACATGTATTTACTTTGTTTTTATTGCATTTGTTTATATTTTCCTGAACTGCCGCCTGCTTAGCTTAGGATAATTTTTTTTTATTTCATTCTACTTTAACTGCTTTTTGAGTTTTATTTCGCTGTATGCTTGCGTTTGTGTCTTCCCATAGCAGTTTTTCGATGATTCGCGGCATTTCCATTTTTTCGCTTGAGTCTGTTGTTGTTGAGCGGCTTTTTGTTTTTGACTAAGAAACCAACATAAAGTTTTTTACGTTTTGCGCTTAAAGCATTTTCAATTTCAAAGTTTGCATACTAAAACAGTTAAAATCGCAATACAGCCCTATGAGTAGATTTGAATGGCCTGCAATAATAGAAGGCACTCTGGCACACGTCCATCTGGGGTTTGAAAAATTTTGACAAAATTTGAATAGAGGAATAAAAACAATTTTGAAATAGTCTACCGGCATTGTTAATAAAAACTTTAAATAGATAAAGATCTATGCAGCCACATAATAGATTTTCTTACTTCACCTTTTCTATGTCATAGCCTCTTTAACGTTGTCCAAAAATCTTAATTTAGGTCAATTTAATCGGAGCTATGCGGAATATTCGACGTCTCCCTCAAAGATATCGAACAGCTTCGAAACAGCCACTGGCCATAATGAAGTAGACCAAGACTGTTAACTAATATTTGACTTAACAGAACCCAGTAGATAAGTTCTAGCGTTAAAAAGATTAACTGAGATGGCTTTTGCAGGTGGATTATTTCAGGAAATTCTTTACCTATCAACTCCTGAACTGCCCCTACGATGCAAAATCCTGAGCCCATATATTTCCCATAGCTAAGTTTTGTCAACGTCAAGAAAGTTTCTATCGTTCAAATAGCTTACAAAGATAAGTGTCCGTGCCTAGGATGAATTATTACCTCTAACTGGCCTGTACACAGCGGAACATAAATGTACCTACTCAATTAAAAGAGGGTCCTAATTTGGGATGCCAAAAAACATTTATTTATTTATTACTGTAATAGATCCCTAAGGTATTCCAAAATCTTTTAAGCCACTTTACATTATTACCGCCAAACAACTGGCTACTAAACAAAATATTTAAATTACTCAAAGCCGTTCCTCTACAGCATCAAACTTACTTTTAGTATAACCAAGAACATCCTTGAAAATTTCATTTTACACCATTTATATTGCAAATTACAGTGAATTTTTTCCAAAGACCTCTTTTTTGTTCATCCCGAAAAAGTTGGAATTTTTCGATTGTTTCGTTTTCTTTTTAGTTCATGGATTACAATGGAATGACAATTACAAATTCTTGCTGGCACCTTCTCCAGGTGCTATCTTAGTTCCAACAAAAAAATAATAGGGCGAACTTCACTTTATGAAATTGCAGGTAATAGTTAGCCAAAAGAGCGTCTGCTACTTTGAGATTGCAGAGGATTTCCTGAAATTTAAATATGTTGCCATTTTGGCTTGGTACACTCTAAGTATTGATATTAAATAACAAGTAATTTTTAGAAAAAAAGAAAACCCGACTTAAAAAAATATATATATATATATATTTCATGATCCAATGATCGGCTCTAAACCAGATTAGTATGGAACCACCTCTGAGATACTGCCTTTCCGATGCAAAAAGAATTATCGAAATCGGTTGAGGTGGTCCAAAGCTATGCGGTAATATACTTAAAAAAAAAATATATATATATATATTCCGACGAACTGATAACCTCCTCCTTTTTTGGAAGTCGGTTAAAAAGACCACTTGGAAAGCTCCTTCATTTGATATTGAATTTATTGAAAAACAAAATATTTAATATGCCATTTTGTGGCCGCGGCGGTCATTTTAAATTTGAAAATTTTTCATAGTGTACCGTATTTGACCATCTATTTGAGGTTTGTGAAAATATATGTAATCCGACATTTTGTGACGGCAGCCATACTGGATTTATATTGATACTGAAATTAAATAATTATATTGTGATTAGAAGTAAAGGTCAACAGGTCAACATGAGGTGGGAGAATTTTCAATTACTATTAGATTTGACCCAAAACAAGGGTCAAAACGACCCACACGGGTGAGAATTAGTGCATTAAAACGTTCCGCAAAAATATGCGCCATAAAATTTTGCTATAGCTTTTTAAAGTGAAGATTAATGGGAAATGTAGTCTTATACGAGATATTTGAAATAATTCAGATCAACTTGGGATCAAATAAGGAAAACTTCAATACACTGTAAAAAAAATTGTGATTTTTAGGGACAAAACGGCAGGTGGTGCAATATTCTAGAGCTATTCCTCTTTACTCATTGCCATACTGAATTTGTGACTGTTTTTTTTTTTTTTTGTTGTCGTGCAGTATAATTATCTTCTAGATCTATTTCGTTAGCCAAAATGTGCGCTAAAAGAAATGCATTCCTATATTTTGTAAAAAAAAAAAAACTAATTTATGTAGTTTCCTCTGTTAAACCAATTTTAGGTAGTAACTATGCCAAAAGCTTTTGTCACTGCCCTCCATAGAAAATCACTAACTTGTGAGCGGAAGCGAACTAATTTCTGTTACGAAACAACTTTTCCAGACGTGCATACATATCTACTTATTTCCATATACATACATATATTTATATAAACATTTGGGCAGTACCTTTGTGTGTCTGGATTTTCACAAATCTTTTTTTTTTGTTTTACGCCAATAATCTTGCGGTTTAATCTTTTAATTTCACTTTCTTCTTCACTTCGACTTTGCCATTTCCGGTTAATGAATGCACGATTGTGCTGGTGTGTGTGAGTGAACTTTGGAGTTTTCTTTGGGAATTTTCGCTCTTTTTTATGACTTTTGTTGAATACATATGTACATATACGCTTGACGAAATATAGTTCGAGAAAATGAAAAAGTGAAAAAGTGAAGTTTCACAGAGACCCTAAATGAAATTGTCTGCGGCACTGAAGTGTGAACTTATGGCTGTAACTGTGACTATGCAGAGAAAAGAATTACAAAATTTAAATAAATAAAACAACGCTACCACCAACATGTATTTGGACTATAAAACAGGCATATTGCGAATGTTAAACACAACAAAAATTACAAAGAAAAAAATTATTGCGGAAACATCTATAAAACAAATAAAGTATGCTGCTAAGTATTTGGCTTAACATTTCGCATTTATTTAAGTCTAAAGTGAAACTTGGTAGCGCTTTCCATATTTTCGCTTCAATTATTCGGATATTTTTAGAATGAAATACTTTCTAGAATATTTGTTTGCAGAGTATCGTCCTGATTTTCACCATTTCTTTAGAATTGCTTATAGCTTAAAATGAGTTCAAAACGAAGCTTCTGGGATACCTACAATCAAAGTCTTGGTTATGGTTTATATGTGTACGAAGAATTTCATGTTTATGTCACTTCCTGTCGTACGCCAATCAAGATGGCAACATTTTTTTAAGCATTCATAGATAAATTAAAACACGAAATTCCCAGCCTGCACTTGCATACATACATACATACTTATACAAGCAAATTTATTATGACACAACAATTTGACCAGCACTGCAATTAACCTGACAGTTTCGTAACCTCTGAGACAATTTTCGGTTTTCCTTCCTTTGCGGTGGAATATTATTTTTTTATTTTTATTTTTTACATAAACACGCTAATTTAAAAATACAATTGTGGCAGTAAGGAAAAGTTTATACTCACCAAAAAAGACTCCAATTATTTGTATTTCTCCTTTCTAGTTTTTTTTTTATTATTTAACACATAATTTAATGTTCCTCGCATTTGCGTAAGGCCCGCCCATTTGAATGACCGAAAGTGCAAGTTACGTTGACATCTATTTAATTTAATGTGTCCGAATATGAATTTGTGGTTGAGTGAACATTAAAGAAATGTCTACGGCAAATTCGTCACAGGCACCAATCGTAAGACCTTTGTAACCTACAAACCAAATGAACGGTATTGTATGTAGGTATACTTCATGTAGAGCTGTAAGCTGTAAAAGATATTAATTTTTTTATTGCTTAGTAACTCTGAAAGCGGATAAATTTCTATTTATGTAAACACAAATGTTGAAAAAAGTAAAAACTGTCAAGTGGCAAGTCCTTTTCTGCCGGTATTTCAGCAAAAATCTTAGAGGTGCAAGAAGAGGGAAGTGGCATTAACGCGAAATACTTCGACGATATAATCTATCTCGGAATAAAGAAATTAACCATTATGTCAATCATCTAATGCGGATACAAGGTGAGCGTAGCTTGCAAAGGTGTCCAAATTTACTTGAATGCCTCCATCCTTAATATACATATACTCGTAAGTTTGCATATTTACGTCTACTTTTAAGCCGCAACACTATCATCTTTTACACAATTTTGTACTCTCGTATTTTAAGCGTGTCTGCATGCATTCACTACTTGGGGATGTTTTTTTTGTTGTTGTTTTTTGTTTAAAATAAGGCATACCTTAGACTTACTGGTACATGCACGAGCCAAAAATATTTTACAATGCTAAGTAAAGTAAATATTGCTAGAAATTTTAACTAAAGTTTATGCCTTAGATTAAACTAAATACCTTTATTGAGCATTGAAATTTCTGGTAGCCCAAAATTTTCAACTTGAACTAGTATTTTGATTACGAGTGTCCTCTAACGGGTGTCGACTTTTACCTTGCACAAAAATGTTTTTAATTTACATAAAATCGCACTTTCTCGTTTTTCATCAAATGATAATATGTAGGCATTAAATAGCAAAACTCATGTCATGTCCCTTATTATATTTTTGCCACTTTACATATTCTCTATCATCTAAAAAATTCTCTATGCCTTTGCACTACTACGCTCTGAGACACTCTTCAATTGTATTTAATGGTAGACATTATGAAGTATTAAAAGACAAATGCCCTCTCAATTTAAACTATAGAATCCATAAAAGCAACGCTTACTTATGAAACATTCTAAACTTTTAAAGAACCTATGCGCGAAAAAGATATACACTTGTGCGCAGCTGATCAATTTGGACTATTTGTCTTTTGTTTATTTTATGTTTATTATTTTTCCATAAAGGTCTAGCTCATTATATAACAAACACCATCATTATTCATGTTCCATCACCAATGTCGGATCTCAATTAAACTCCCTATACCCGTATTCAGTTCTTCTGCTAAACCCGTCGCTCATAGATTTGGGGAGAATTATTTTTCCAAACTACCCCAAATTCCTCTTCTACTTCTGTGCCATATATAAATCTTGATTTTTGTTGGCCGTCGGAAATGCTCTACTCTCCAATTGCCTACTAAACACAAAGTAGTTAGTACCTGTTAGCAAGTGTTATTCTTCGCTGAAACTCCTAGCTGACATTATTGGCTATGCTAATGTTCGATCCTATTTAGTAACACAAAATCGTTCAATACATTAAAGACAACGCTGCCAACAGCGACCCTAAGATTATTTGTGTTTTTACAGGAGGTACTTTGACTTTTCCGCGTCCCCCTCTAGGCTAACCTCGTTTTTTCCTTCTCTTAGCAGGAAAAGCCTGTGCTAACGTTGTTAGACATGATGCTTCTGCAATTCAGATGGTCAGTTTGAATTATGCGTTTCAACATCAGTCCTCAGTCTGCGCACACTTTCGCCGATTGGGCCTTACAAGTAATACTACATAGAACACTCATTCCTTGATAATGGCGCAAACAGTGGGATCTCCTTTATTTTGGTTTGGAAAAGGTACACCAATATTCGGGCATGTATTCATCAGCCCAAATTAATGTCAACAGGGTGATGTTGGCATCTCCTCTATAAATTGACAACTGGTGTCGCCTTTTAAAAATGTTGAGTGAGTGATTTCCATTTGCAACCGTGTAGGGACCAACTTCAGTCATGAAATCCTTCAATTTCATATACAATTTTCTTCGCCAAAAAGATCGATTTAACAATTATTAAGACGAGTTATATTGACGGATTTATCGATAACTACACAGATATACAAAGTATCCCTGTAAAAAATTGTTCAACTAATCTGTAAAAAAGTATTCAGGGATTAGTCTCAATGGGGTCCAGTTCGGCATTAGTTAGTCACAAATGGTTTCATGCGGGTATTATTATAAATAAGATGGTCAGTTAGTTCCCGATTGGTCTCTAATGGCTATGATTACCAATGTAATAATATGTACACACTTCACCAAAGGAATGTCACATGCGGCGCTGGTTTGTAGAATACTCTATTCGTTTAGCAAACCAGAGAACTGCAGTTCGATTTGCATCTGGCATTTTATATCCGGTCATGTATAGAGGGGAACAATTAGTATCTTCGAATAGTTCTTTGATTTTTTTTTTCAAATAATTAACAGACATAAGCTGCTTTATTCCGTTTTATTAAAAAGATACAAAAAAATTTATAAGATTTTTATGCAATGATGAAGCTTCTGCAAACCAATTATACTTTGCGCTTGTTATAAATCTACTTATATATTACAAATAGCGACATACAAACATGCATACAATACATACATATTTATCGCTTAACATATCTATATGTACATATATGTATAATCACGCTTCGGCCAATCTAGGTGACATCATACACCTGCATGACATTTATCCCGACCTGGCCAGCCATAACAAACACTATCTGCATGGTGGCAGCAGCAGCAGCAGCAGCAGTTCGCCACTCACGCAAGCACACAACCTCCACGGAATACAGAGCAGCAGCAGCGCACACACCACATTGGGCTCCTCACGCCCGCCGCTCCATCACTACCCCACCGTCATCAATAATCATCAGTACCAAGTCACACAGTCGTTGTATTCCACAAAGCGGCCATACAAGCCGCACATCTACCGGCCTGGACCGTCAGGTGGTGGCGGTGGCACAGCTGCGGCGTCGAGCAGTTGGGAACATGAATCTAATCAACTCGGCTTGGGCGCCTCGCCATCTGGCATCACCAATCACTTGGACACCTTCTTCGATTTGGAGCGACCGCCCGCGCATTCGGCAGAAAGTGGACCGCATGAATTGCTACCACATCCACAGCCATTTGCTGTGGGCAACGTGCTGGACCTGAATGCGGGCGAAGCGGCAGAAGACTACAATAGCGGCGGCGGCGGCGGCGGCGGCGGCGGTGGCCTTTATTCTGATGGAACCACTTATCGACCAGTGCCGGGTACCAAAGCAGTTTTGACGTTTCTAGAACTTTCATTATTTTCACTGTTTTGTTTGGACTCTTGCCTTGTTTGAAGGGAATCTATTTATGTATTAAGTTTGATATTTACTTCACTCACTTATAATCTCACTTTAGAGTTTTCTCCTTTGTATGTAAATAACTTAAACTCCGCACTTGAATGCTTACGCACTTCGTTACACTTTTGTTTCTGTTATTTTCTGTATTTCACGGTTTGTGAGCATTGCACTCTCTTTTCTTGGAAAATTTCGTAATAAAATATGTAAATTTTTATGAAATTTTAATAGCGTCACTATTTTTTTTTTCTTTTCATTTCAGGCTGTGGCGAGGTGTATGCGCGCTCCAATCGCATAGTGGGCGGTCACTCGACGGGTTTTGGTTCACATCCCTGGCAGGTGGCGCTGATCAAAAGTGGATTTCTTTCGCGTAAGCTTAGCTGTGGTGGCGCACTTGTCTCTAATCGCTGGGTGGTTACTGCGGCGCATTGTGTAGCAACGTAAGTAAAGAGAAGCGGCATTGCCTTAGCATAGCACTAACTTTTCTTTAATTAACAAATGTAAGCATTATAATGAATGCAATGAAGCGGACGGTCAAAAATCCAGAAACAAGGGGAACTCCGCAGGTAGGGGTCTTGTTAACCCTACTGTGGCTATTGGTGTTTAATAAACTGCTAGAAAGTTTTAAAGTTAAGAGGATGAAGGTAGTTTTCTATGACTTGGCGAAACTAATTTCCGGCAAATTCTTGTCAACAGTTGGTAAGCACATAGAATCTAATTCTAAACGCAAACTTGTTTCGTTCACGAGTAAAACAAAATTCCATTAATCCCGTCGCCAAAACTAACCTGAGCCTTTCCTTCGAGGTATAATAACGAGAAATTATCCTTAACTCCTCACTTACGTGAAAGCGCAATGTAGCACAACAGCTGAGCCAAGTAAATCAAAGTCATCCGACCGATTTTTACCTCAGTAGTGCTGGTATGGTGGAAAACATTAAATAAAAGCATCAATCGGAGCATATTTGGATGAGTGCAGAGCCACGTTAGCCTCGGTATATCAGGCGCCGTGAGCAGCGAACCATAAGAAGGGCCGAACATGATATTTTACTTGAAGCCACAACAAGTATTCGTTGCATCAGCAGCCACCGAATGAGCTCTTAGACTAAGACTTAGACCAATTTCGGGCAAAAAGAGGTCCTGAAGATAAATAATTTCTTCCGGTATAATAGAATCAAAGCCGATTTAGATGTCGAAACTGATTACCTCACGTCATACTTGGATTTTAGTCTTAAGATTCGCATATATTTTCGAACTAGGGAAGATTAGGAAGTCGGCCTACTGTCGGTAAATGATGGTATTGCCATCTACACCCTTGGCTTAACGATCGAAAAGGAGACGGCTCACGTTTTAAACGGCCTGCAGATAAGGGCAGTGTCTTTCAGGCGGAGATCTTTGTCGGTAGATAAGGTGTATTTTCTTATACCAAATAGTAAGTGTCTGTCAGGGGCAATCAGGTTGACAGTCAGGCGGTATTCAACACATTGTGTTCCAGGATAATAAAGCCGAAAGTAAATCGGGAATGTTGTGCATTGCAGAACTTGCTGAATCACATCCAGTCGCCTCTCTGCTGGATTCCTCGACATAGTAATATCTAAGACAACGGAATAATCGACGAAATGGATAGACACGGCTCTGCTAATTTGCATTTGTGAAGTGGAAAACTACCTACTACCACTGGTATCTTATCTATTAAGGAGGGTTGAAGAATACCAGGCTGAACAATAGTCATACTGAAGTGTTATCGACGCTAAACAAATCTGCATTAAGGGCATTTACCGGCTCCTTTGAAGAACGAAAAAATCAGTTCTAAATTGATCTTCTGGTGTTGAAATTGCAGACTCATTTTGACTTTCATGATCGAACATCTTCTTCTTTTGCAATATGAGCATATTTTGCCGCAAATTCAAAGCCCTTATTTCTGTAGGCGTATAGAAATTCATCGCAACTTCCTATCGACTCAGTGGCTGCAACGATATCCATGGTTTTACTCTGCATTAATTTACTCATGACATTGTTCTGGAATGGGTCTCATACCAACCAGCCAGAGTGATGAGAAAATTTCAAATCAGAGAAAAAGAAGATCTCCATTAGAGCTTCCTAAATTTATTTCGCTTGATATTTAATGACTTCGCGCATAATGGTTTGACGGTTAGATTTTGAACATGATTTTTGAAAATGGTCCATCTCTGGGTAGATGCTCAGTATTGAAAATAGATGCGCTGAAGTATACAAAAAATCGTGATATATGTGCTGGATGAAGAGGCAGTAATTCAATGAATGCCATATCCATTGTGTAAATAGTACTCTCGCATTTAGTTCCGGGACCCCCATCCTTCCGTGAAGAAAATTCCCGTTCGAAAATTGTATGCATTAAAAAAATAAACTGTATCCCAGAATTTTTCGCTCCCCTCAATTTGGCGCCCAGGGCAACCGCCCCTTTCGCGCCGCCCTAAATTCGGCCCTTCTTCAGATATACGACTCCACAGGAGTTTATCCTGTATTTTATATTGTAAAGTTGATTATTAGCTACCGTAGTCGCCAAATCTAGACTCCACAAATCGCAGTGTTTGGTAAAGTTTTACAACAGCATTTTGTGCAAAGTCCTCCGAAAATCAATAAATATTCCAGTTCTGCTTAGACTAATTTGAATCGAAAAGGTTATTGCAAAATAATTTCGTATTCGTGCTTGTATTTTATTTATACGTTTAAATCTTTCTCAGAAATTCCTCATTTGTTTTGAGCTCCTATTAAGGCTGAGGGAATATTTAAGTACTTCATGCCAGTAAATGGGGAGCTAAACTTCCTTTTAAATACTTTTTTATTTCCTTATACTAAATAATACGAAATTTTTTATTTGTTCTCTTCCCCAGCACCGCCAACTCGAATATGAAAATCCGTCTGGGCGAGTGGGATGTACGTGGTCAGGAAGAGCGGCTGAATCACGAGGAATACGGCATCGAACGCAAAGAAGTGCATCCACACTACAATCCAGCAGATTTCAAAAATGACTTAGCGCTAATTCGGTTAGATCGAAATGTTGTATACAAACAGCACATAATACCGGTGTGTTTACCACCGCCAGCAACCAAGTTGGTGGGCAAAATGGCGACAGTCGCTGGCTGGGGACGCACGCGGCATGGTCAAAGCACAGTGCCCTCAGTGTTACAGGTAAAAGGAATATTAAAAAAAAATGACGATTATTTATCCTCTTTTCTATCGCATTAAGGAAGTGGACGTTGAGGTGCTCTCAAATGATCGCTGTCAGCGTTGGTTCCGTGCTGCAGGTCGTCGTGAAGCGATTCATGATGTCTTCCTTTGCGCAGGCTACAAAGAGGGTGGCCGTGACTCATGCCAAGGTGATTCTGGTGGCCCGCTCACCTTAACGCTGGATGGCCGAAAAACGCTAATCGGCTTGGTGTCTTGGGGTATTGGCTGTGGTCGTGAACATCTACCCGGTGTTTATACGAATATACAAAAATTTGTGCCGTGGATCAGCAAGGTGATGGCCAACGATAATGCGTAATGCTGCTGCTGCATCGGTTCGCTCACACTTGCCAAAGACTGCAGTGCACACATATTTACGACATGCCACCTAAATCGTTACTTTATTATATTCTTTTGCTGTTCTTCGTTATTGAAGCTTCTAATTTTCAGTGATTTTAAGCCTAAGCTCTGATATGGGTTTTTAAAGAGGTATACCGATTTAGATAAAATATGTTGTTTCCTGAGCAATATTGAATTTTTAATCTGAAATTTCTTTTGATGAAAGAATGCTGACTTATTCCCCCTTTGGTAATTAACCCATTAAATATGTATGGCTTTCCACTTAACTTCATTCTTAATAGATTTAAATGAAAAAACATAATGTATTTCCGAGTATTTTAGTAATTTATATTAGGCTAAAAAAGTTTTGTACGAATATTTAGTTTTTACATAAATTTAAGGAAACACAAATAAAATAAAAAGTATGTATCTTAACAACCAATACGAAATTAGTATCTATCAAATTTATAGTCGTATATTTATTTTGATTCATTATTGAGAGGACTTTCTGAGTAATAGTCATTTGGTAAACGAGGCTAGAGGCGAGTTATTTGGAAAATTCTTGTTATTTTGATTACATTTGCAACATAACTAGATACACTAAAACTAATATTTCTTCAAAAGGTTGATTCACAAAAAAGTTGGTTGGTTAGTAGAAGCGTCACCTGTGCACTTGTCCAGGATGCAAATGTTATCTGTTTTCATGATTCGTCAGCCTCGCCAAACTACTTGGATTTGTCGATGAATCTATTTGTGTTACTAAGAAGGCAATAAGAAATCTACATACATAATAATTTGGATGGAGAGTCCTAGTGTATCATTCTGGGCACTCTCAAAGATAATTTTGGACCATTTTCTTATTTTCCATGAGATCACAGCTCCGGCACCGTAGGTTGTACGGAAGGACCCTTTTAGCGTTTCAGTTTTAATTGTTATTCTCTTTGCTGAGTCCGAGAAGGTAGTATATTGTCTCTGCTTTTTCTTCATCAAGACAACAACAATTAACAATTTCAACAGCCATCTAGTTTCTGTGCTAATATATTCCTATGGCTAGGAATGCCGACTAGGGAGACATCTATTGACGCGGCCGTTGACAACTGTCTTAGAAAACTTATGCTTTTCGTATGCTTCGCAGGTCCTCTCGATTCCCTGCTTGGAAGATTCTACCTTAGATCGGTAGTCGAAAGTTAAGAGAGACATTCAAAATCTCAGAGAACACCTCCGCGGCCACACAATTCTCCTAAACTAACCTGCACCTACTCCAGTCTCGTTTAGGAGGAAATTTTACCTGCAAGTTTTTCCTGAAATCTATCTTTGAATGTATAAATGTACTCTTATTATTTCCCTGATTCAAAAAGCTTGCCTTAAACACTACTATGACCATGTGCAGCGCTCTCCAGCAGCCTGAATCTTTGATGCTGATAGTTCGCAGCAATTCCACGGAGGTTGAGTCCAATGGGCTGTTAATGCAGAATCACATTCAGCGCATCATAAGGACACGACTTAGTTCTCCCTCTCCCTTACCTTCCACCTCTTTTCCTACCCCTCTCTCCTCTTAAGGGCATCACAACGGACAGCACAGTCGTGTCTAAGTGGGCTTCCATCTATGGAGGTAGCCTGATAATCTAACCTAACCTGTTGGCTCCTGCAGCACTTGCATACGCTGATCTTTTTATGCTGCTTAATTTCTTCACATTTTATTGTTTATTTATATACCTTGCTACCAAACTAACTCATTTTGGGTTTGTATTGGTACTCGGTTATTACTGTTTTAATTTGCCTAAGCCACTTCTTATAGCCCTTAAGTGTAGCCTGAGCAGAGCTTGCTCTAATATTTCACTAATCGTTGTGGGGAAAGGAACTGCTACCGCCACCACTACATCATGTACGTACGCTGCTACCTTTATTCCACCTTTGTTGAGTGCCACCACCGAGAGTAGCAGAGACATAACACCATCTCGCCATACGTTGGACGAGCAGGCTACTGAGAAGTGGTTCTCTCTCATCGTACAAAAAGCCCATACTATAAGTCACTCAGCATGCCCATACCAGGGGTATGGAGCAGAAGCATGGGCAATGACAACATTCAATGAGGCGGTCGTTGGATTATTTGAGATAAATGTTCTGCGGAAGATATGCAGGCTTTTTCGCGTTGTAAGCGGCGAATATCTCAGCCAATAAAACGATCCATGCTAATGGTGTAAGCCTACCATATTTTATCCATTCGCCAGAAAACACACACACATATGTATGTATATGCTAAGAGCATACTTTTAGGCTGTTATATTTTTTTTATTAAATCAGTGATGGAAAAGTAGGCACAATTGTACTTTTTTACGCCTTTTTCATTTGAAAGTTAATTTGGTGCACTAACAACATTTTGGTAATTTTTAGACGTAACCAATTAAATTTTGAGGAAAGCCCTTACTGTTTTTTTTTTATTGCTAGGTAATTGCACCAAGCTGGAGTAGCAGGAACTAATGACAGAATCGTGTAGTTGATTCTATTTAGCAAAGATAGACAGCGAATATTTCATTTTAAAACGAAAGATTACAGAATTCGAAATTAAGTGATTCATCTATTCTAAAACATGGTTGTGTCTCGTCAGTTGGACCTTTTATATAGCTAAATATATCAACTTTTCGGTAAATTTTTTTCGCAAATTAGGTAGAGTTTAAAAATTTAATTGGCATACCTAGTGGCAATAAAATAACAGTTAAAGCCGAAGTGTATGAAGATCACATTCCTTTTACATATTAACCGCATTAGAGGGCATTTTTTGATATGACTTTTTGGAAATATTGGAGAAGGGGAACTGACATATAAATTGTATATCTTTTACAGTCATTTGTCAATAGTATTTAATTAGCCACTATAAACATCTGCAAGCAAGTTTCCAATAAATAAAATAACTTACAATATGTTCTAACAAAATAAGATCAGTTAAGACAGATCTTAATCCTGCTTCAAAATCATCAGTGCTGATTAATATATGTATATACATATGTGTGCATGTAAAATACAACGGGGAAGGGTAAAAACAGCAATTGGCTTAAAGTTAAGATTCATTGCATGAATTTAGGCGAGTATTATTCTCTGCTTTATTTAATTTATGTAGGTTTCTTTACTTTTTAGGTATTTTTTTACTTTTTTACTAAAAAATTCTAGTACAATAATCATGGTTTAGTAAAAAAGTTAAGCGAAAAATGCGACTAATTAATACTTCTTACGATTAATGTACCAACTTCTTTTCGAGCAAATTACATTATACTTAAATACAAATGCAGTTACTTCTAAACTGTATTGCATTTCATTTATTTTTCTTCTTCTCTTTGCACTTGCATCAATGCTCTTCCATGCTCTTGCGCGCCGATTCGCTATGAACCAACGAGCAGAGCGTCACGTTTCGTTAATTGAATTCAAACATTAAGCTGTGCTGCCCTTCTCTCTCTTCAATAAAAATTTTTGTTGAAAGTAATGCTGCATTTACATGAGGCGATTTTCTAGGCTATTCAACATTGCTGAAGAAAAATCGCTAGTGTAAATGGTGACTCAAACATCGCTTGCCTAAAAGAAGACAGCAAGTCAACTTTTGCAGGCGATTACTACGTGTCAAGAAATCGCCTCATCTAAAAGCCGCTTAAGATACATTTGCTTGTCTTGGTTTGTGGCACCTCCATAGTACTTACTTGTATGTAAGGCTGACACCTGACCATGTTGCACGTTGTCAATAATAAGTACCAAGTTACAAATTTACAAACAGCATGCAGGGGTGCTATTCTACATTGTCGAGTTTGATCACGTACATGGCTTAACAGGCTAATCGAATAACTAATAAACGAAAGACGCAACGAAATTAAGATATACATATAAATTTGAGGCAATTTCAACAGACCAGTCACACAGTGCCGCCTAAATGGGGAAAATGTGAAAAATCGTTGTCTGCAATGTGAAGACGTTTGGTGTCTTTTTTAAATGTTATTTATCCACTAAAAAGAATTAAACCGAAATTCGCCTATAAAATAAATTATGTTCCGTCAGGAACGAAATTTTCTTCTATAAAATTTTTTTAAATCAGCTTGCAGCTGTCAAGAAAAAAATCGTATATTAGGCTTGTTCCCCAAGCAACTCTAAGTCAATTCGAGTTACACATAAGCGTTCCTCAAGTAAGTTTTAGGCTGAGTTTCAGTAGATTCATTTTAGTGAAAATTACTTTAATTTACGAATGTTTGGTTTCACCAATCAATTTTAATTAGTTATTAATATTGATTTAAGTAACCTATACTCTTCACTTAAATAAAAATTAAATTAGAGTAACCACACTCAGAAATGTTACACGTTTAATCAGCTGATCAATATACACAAACCACAATTTTGTGTATCTGCTGCTTACTTGTATACCAGCCCTGCTTTTACAACACAGCATGCCAAAGCTCTCAAAAGCTCTCAGTACAAATGAAAGCTTTCGCTGGTCAAGTCTGTTTTACAACTTCATTTTACTCACTTAAATAAAGAGCTTATTGAAACTGAAAATAATTTTAATGAGAATTAAATAAAAAATTAAATTTAAGTTAATTTCCACTTAAATGAGTTTGGAGAAACGCAGCCCTAGAGTTTCTTTTATATACGCTTACACTTTGAACTTTGCTCGTGCTTTTCTACAAGTATCTTGTGAAACAAACCTATTTATTTCTTCAAGAAAATTGATAGCCAAAGCAAAATACTTTTTCAAGCAACAGAAATAATGAAAAATATTTCTTGTGATTTTTCTTGAGAGCTGCAAATGGCGCTTTATTTGTTCAAGCTTTTCACTTGATGAAAACTTTTGCCAATTTTTTAACTGTGAACGATCACTTACATATCAAAGACGCTCTCTGTAATATTTTGATGTGGTTTGTCGCCGTAAGAGAGTTTAATCAGATAGTATAAATACTCTTGAAAAGCAATGCATTCCACACCGCAAAATTTCAATTACTACTCCAATGCCTTTCGGCCCACCGAACTTCAGTTGGGCGTTTTGCAAATCTCTTTGCTGCAATAACAAAGAGATTTTTTAGCACCAGCGTTGGGTGTACTTACAAACATACTTAGGTCAATCAGCAGATAACATCCAACTCGTCTGAGTCGTTTGCGTTTCTAGTTTTTATACTTGCGCCACCGCTGGTTTTAGTCACTGACTGCAGTCCATTGACTGATTGGCATTGTTTTTGATGTGTGTTTGCTCATTTCGCTTCTGTGGCTGCTAAATACTTGTAGTTACGCAGACACTTACTCGTACATACGTATATATGTATGTATTCTTGCACACTTATTAACCTTTCAAAACTCATAATTATTTCACATCTTGCTTT